TGCTGTGTATACAACACCAACGCTGCATCCTATTCATCCGTTAGTGCATCCGTCTAAAAAATCATCCATCCATCCAAAACAATCATCCATCCATCCAAAACAGTCATCCATCCATCCAAAACAGTCATCCATCCGTCAAAAATGGCAACTAACCTGGACATCCAGCAGTTGCATCAACTTGTGCTGACCTTAGCACAACAGGTACAGCATCATGAAACTCTTTTTTCAGATCTTATAGCTCTGAAAGAAAAGGTTTCCCTCCTTGAGGAGGAAAAACTTTTTCTGCAAGCAGAAAATACCAAGCTCCTTTCTCGCGTCCGGACTCTGGAGTCCAATTCTTCAATGTCCCAAGGCGGCACTCAGGTCTCTTCTGTCTCTCCTCCTACTCCCACTGCCACACACCCAGGCAGTGTTGGCTCATCCATCCATGCTTCCTCTTGGGCAGCCAAGGCTGCTAAGCCTGCCTCTCTTCCTGCCCGTCCTGCCCGCGTTTCGCAGAAGAAACGAGTTGCTGCTGCCCGTGCCTTTGTGAGCCCTGCTGCCAAAGGTCCTCAGGGCTTTACATATGTGTACCTTGGTCGCTCTCGCAAGATCAATAGATCTGAAGTCCGCTCACGTCTCGTCGTTCTGGTGTGGATACAGGACGTATCCTTGACATCTCTTTTCCTGCGTCTGGTGTGCTTGGCCTCCTGATGCATGTGCAGTATGTGGAGCAATTCACTGCTACCATGCAAAAGGTAGGTGCTGAATTGATCGGTGGCTTCGATCCTTTGGATCCTAAGCACCTTGCTGACCCTAAGTTCGCTGCTTTGTCTGAAGCAAACAGAGCAAGCGAAATGGCCTCACTGGTGAACAGCCGCGCTGTGGATACCCTCTCTTTCTTGCGTCCTCTTCTTGTTGGCCCTGTTGGTCGATCCTTCGTTGAGTTGGGTTGGATTGACGATGCTGACCTCTCTTTGGCTCTTGCTTCTGCTCGTTCTCGTTTGGAAAAGGAAAATCCAAAGCAAGCTGCTTTTGTTTTCCGAAACAAAACGGCTGTTGAGGATTCTGCCACTGATTCCGAAATGGAATTTTAATGAGTATGGATCCAACCCATACTCCCGCCCACCCATCACGCTCCTTCTATATTAGCATCTGGAATGCGAATGGCCTAAAAACCACGACCATCCACGATGTTATATCACATATCTTGAACACTAGCATCCTATTTATCACTGAAACTTGGCTCACCGCCGGCTACCTTCCTATAGATTGGTCGCAATACCATCTATATGGATCAAAGGTAGTTGGTGCAAACAACCGTGGTTCTGGTGGTGTCTCTGCTCTTGTCTCTCCTTCCTGTCCTTTTCCTGTCACCCAGTTGCCGTCTTTCAATGCATATACTCTCTCACTCAAAATGGGAGCAGTCAATGTGCATTGTTCGTACTTTCCACCCAGTCTCTCTAATGAGCTGGTGCTATCCGCTCTCTCCTCTATTCCTCTCAACTCTGACTCTATCCTCTGTGGTGACTTTAATGCTCGCTTTGGTGATTTCACTGGTGATTCCGCTACCAACTCGCGTGGTCTTGCTATGCGTGCATGGCTTGAACAACGAGACCTGGCTGTGCTGAATACTACTCTTTGTCGTGGTGTGCCCACCTTTACAACGTTTCGACGTGGTATGGAAATGAGTAGTATCATCGATTTGTTCATTACAAATATTTCCTCGTGGAATATGCGTGGTGCTCAAGTCGCAGTAGAATCTGATCTCTCCCTTGGGTCTGATCACCGGTTGATGACTTTGTCATTCGACTATGATTCTACTTTGGGATCTGGGGCTCATGCTGGCTCTGACGGTCTTGCTCCACGACGCCTTTGGAACCTATCTCGCTTGCGGGAAAAGGAACCTTTGGCACTGTTCCAAAGCAAGTTTCGCTCACTTGTAGTTCCTCTGGAATCTACTCTGAGTCAGCTGGTCTCTGCGCCACCGCTTGAACGCCCTGATATTGACGAGTTGAATGCTACTCTTAATGGGTGCTTCTACGAGGCTTTGGATGGGTCGGTTGGTGCAAGACAACATCGGTCTGGAAAATGGTGGAAGAAGTACTGGACTCCTGATATCGAATCAGCAGCTCGAGAACGCGATCGCTGTTATAGTAGGTGGCGTCATGCCTCTGGTGTTGACAAAGCTTACTGGTGGTCGTTGCATCATGATGCACATCGTCACTTTCGTCGTCTTGTTGCTAAAGCTAAGCGTCTCTCTTGGAAGAACTTCTGTGCTCAGTTGGAACAAGACTTTTCTAAAGCCACTGGCACCCTCTCTCGTATGAAAAGAAGACGTGATTGTTCCGGTACTTATGCTCACAAAGATGGCCCTAAAGCTTCAGTAGATGCTATGGCTACTCACTTGACTTCGGTCTATGCTGGCTCTCTGTTGCCCCCATCAGAATCTCGTCCACCCCCACCACTTTCCTGTGATAGTTTGGTTCCTTTTGTCTTGCCATCCAACCTGGATATGTTCTCAGCAGACACGATCATGGATCACATCAAGCGTTTACCTCTTCGGAAGGCACCTGGAAGCGATCACCTGAAAGCAGAAATGCTGAAGGCCGTGACCAAGGACCTTGCCCCGCTTTTGTCTCTCCTGTTCTCCCTGTGTTATCAATGGGCTTATACTCCTTCTCTCTGGCGTCTTGCTAATGTATACCCGATACACAAAAAAGGTGATCCCTCTGATCCGTCCAACTATCGACCGATTTCGTTGACATCAGTCATGCGTAAGCTCTTTGAGTTTACAATAGCTGATTGTCTTCATGAACACTCGCCTACACTGGACATTGCGCAAGGTGGTTTCCGTCCTCAACGTAGTCCTCTGGATCAAGCTCTATGCTTGCATGACTTGATGCATGATTACTTTCTAACCAACCGTCGCCGTCCTGTTGTTGCTTTTCTTGACATCAAGGCTGCTTATGATACTGTCGACAGACGTGTCATCTGGGATGTACTGGCTCGCTCCTCTCTACCTCGGCCTGTGCTTGTGTGGTGATCTGAGCACTTTCAATACAAAATATAATAAATAGCCTGTGATGTTTTAATAATAGAGAGTTGTATGATACGATAATGTAGAGACAAAGGTAGATATTTTGAGACTGTTCTATACAATTTTAAATTCTAGCATATTTATACATGAAGAGATGTCGGAGTAAGTAGTCGTAGAGTTCATGCAAATGACTGAGTCTCTATTATCATAGACTACTTTAAATTAACTAAATAATATAAATTATGGATTTCGGTTATAAGTCTTGATCTATTAAAAGATCCATTGTCTTATTCAGTACAAGAGGTTCTTTTATGTCTATTTCTGATGTAAATTGATTATGATGTATTTTAGTATGTAAATGAAGACTTATTTAACGTCAGATCATCACACAAGTTTTGACATGAAATGTCACATCGCCTGGTCCCGGTACTGGTGAGTTGTGATGTTTGTGTTGTGAAAAGAAATATAGAAAACAGAAAAGAAAACAAAGAAATACAGTGAGACTGTTCAGTACTTCTTTATTACAAAAATAAATGATAATCCTCTAAGATATATCTTTTCCAGGTTGTCTTTTATACTACCTGATTTATTGACTAATTGTGATTACTGATTACTGATTATTGATTATTGATTATTGATTACTGAACACTTTGACAGCTTGTGCCTGGGAGTTGACTATGTAGATTCTCCTTTAATCCTCCTGGTTATCTAAAAGGTACAATTATGGTTTCCTTATTTGTAAATATCCATATTATCCCAGTTATCGTTATTTACTGTCATTATACAGTGCTTACTTTATATTTATAATGTATAGTGCTATAAGTGATTATTCATTTATATGATGAAAGATTATTTATTATATTTTGTATTGAAAGTGCTCGGATCACCACAAACTCTACGACTACTTACTCCGACATCTCTTCATGTATAAATATGCTAGAATAATTTATAGTCAAAAAGAACAATAAAATTGTATAGAACAGTCTCAAAGTATCTACCTTTGTCTCTACATTATCTTATCATATAACTCTCTATTATCAAAACATCACAAGTACTTCTAGTAGAATGAGTGAATGTCAGTGACTATAGATCCATTGCAATTGCCATAGATGTGATCTGGCCTTTTGCCATGATCATCATTTATTGATCTATGGATATGAATTCATATATGTTCACAACACTACTCTTTCTTATACAAGCAAATCAAGGCCTTTATCATCTTTAATTCCTCTTTTACCCGTTACCTGCTGTACATATCTATGTTCTTATCGTTGTTTCTCAGTACATTATGCTCTTATTATCTAATTCCATTGAATTGTATAAAAGCTTAATTAGCAAAACCTAACAAAAAGGGGAATTTTTCTTTAAGTTATTTTGGGGATATCACCTGAGAATCTGGTGCCATTACATTCGAAAATATCTGCCTCAATTCTACTATAAACTCTCGTATCATCACTGTTAGTCTGGAAGACCAATCCATATTAAACATTCATCTAAAATTATAATAAAGTCACTTGACTGCTAGCCAATCAAATTACTTCAGAATATATTCTCAGATTTACTGGTTAATCATATTCAACTTAATTGAGTGTCAGAACTATAAACGTGAAATTCTGTAACTGTTGCTTGAATTTCATACCTTTTAAAGCTTCACTCTGATGCATGGGTCAGTAGTCATTATTTCTCATTACCTCGTTGTATTCTCTTTTCCTGTTAAGTATCAGAAATCATATCAAAACGGTAAAAGTTTAGTGCTTCTAATGTAAATCAACAGTTGGAAGTTAGACTTGTATTAATCCTTCATCCCTTTTCATGAATATAGTATTCTTTTGGGTTTGCATATATAGCTCTTGCATGTGTTATAAGAGTATAAAGAACACATTGTCTCCCCCCCTTTTTTTTTTTTTTTTTTTTTTTTTTTTAGAACAAGGTGTATTAGCGAGGCTATTTTTGACTAGTTGCACAATTGCTACTAACAAGAATTTTAACAGCTCATTTCCTTTCGCTTATTTCTTGGTTGGGCTGAGCTCTTTTTTCGCCTTTCTTTTTCTTCAAAAAATGATATTCAAATCAATATGAACATCTTTATTATATTCTGTATTCTGCTGTTCTTTATTTATGAAATATGCTCACTACCAACTACGAATCGCACTATTCGACAGTTCTATATAGCAGCGGAGGAAGAGCTTTGGGATTATGCACCTATGCACTGGGACAATGTCCGAGATCTTCCCCTGACCAAATCGCCTGCTGCGCTCTACACTGTATATCGCAAAAACAGGCGTATAGGTTCAACTTACCAAAAAGCATTTTACCGACAATATCGAGACGAAAGCTTCACTAATCCTATCGCGCATGATACTGTACTGGGTAACTTGGGCCCTATCATTCGCGCAGAAGCAGGCGATCAGATCCATATTACTTTTCTGAACCGAGCAAGATATCCGCATAGTTTGCATCCTCATACGTCCAATGGTCCATCTAGATTACCAGGCAAATTTGTTCAACCAGGACAAACGTATCGTTATGTATGGGATATTCCATCTGACTATACGTTTCCCGAGAATCAGTCCTCTGTTGTCTGGGCTTATTCCTCTAAGGCTTCTCCTAAAGGAGATGTCAATGCTGGCTTGTTAGGACTGGTGGTCATCTATCAAAAAGGAACATTAGAATACCCTTCTCCTGGTGCCATGTTTGAAAGACCTATAGGCATTGATCAAGAAGTATTTACATTAATGACCAACACAGACGAATCCGAATCCACTTATTTTAAAGAGTCAGGCGAACGTGTTGGACTCAGCATGGAACGTATGCATGAATTAAAGGCCCATGATCCCTTATTTAGTGAATCGAATCGCATGTATCATATCAATGGTTATGTCTATAACAACAATAAGGTGATCAATTTGGTCTATGGATCTCGTGTTCGTTGGTATATCGTATCTTTTGGCGTTTCTGATGAAGATGTGCATACAGCTCACTGGCATGGTGCTACTATGTTGCAGCATGGTCGTCGAGTAGATGTGGTTGATTTAACGCCTATTAGTTTTGAAGTAGTGGACATGGTGCCTGATAATCCTGGACAATGGCTTTTTCATTGTCATGTTGCTTCTCATTTCGAGTCTGGTATGAGTGCCTTTTATCAAGTAGAAGAAGTGATTTACACAGGTGATGAAGGTTGGGAGTGATTTTTCCAAATAAAATATTGTTTTTTTTTCTTTTCGCGTATTTTTTTTTTTTCGTATGAAGCGACAGTCTTCTATCAGTTCTTACTTTACAAAGAAACCAGCCGAGAAAAAACCAAGACTTGAAGGCATATGTGTAAACAAGTCAAGATCAAGTCAAGATCTTGAAAAACTTCATCAGCAGTTTCGAGAAAAACTGAATACTATGGCACGAGAAAAAAGCCAAAAACATCAAGATACAATTATACAGAAACAAAAACTCACACCACTTGAAGCACAAGTAGCTGAGCTAAAAGAAAAATACCCCCATTGTCTCTTGTTAATTGAAGTGGGATACAAGTTTCGATTTTTCGGTGAAGATGCCAAGGTTAGATCAAATGAAGAAAGTAAAAGGTTGACAGGTCATCTAGATTGCTTCACGTATTTTGCACATTGCACATTTCATTGACCGTAACTTCTACGTTGCAAGTATACCTGTTCATCGATTAAATATTCATGTTAAAAAGTATCTATAAAGCATTATCGAGGCATTGTTGCTTATCTATGATTACTAGACTTGTCAATGCAGGGTATAGAGTAGGCATTGTACGTCAAACAGAAACAGCAGCATTAAAAGCAGCTGGATCCAACAAAAGTCAGCCATTTGCCAGAGAACTCGACCAAATGATCACAAAAGGCACTTTGGTAGATGATCTCCTCTTTGATACGACGCCCACTTCATCAGGAGGCTATCTTATGTGCCTTGTAGAAGAAAAGCGTGGAGGACATGCGTCAGATGAACGTGTGCTGACAGGCATGGTGGCTGTTCATCCATCCACAGGCGACATTATATATGACGCATTTGAAGACACCTACATGCGCAACGAGCTAGAGACTCGGCTACTTCATATTGAGCCTGTAGAGATGTTGGTACCCACCAGTCTTAGTCAACCAACCGAAAAGTTAATGCATTATCTATCCCTACAAAAATCGACTTCGTTTGGACAAGAGTCTGTGCGTATTGAGCGTATGCCTGTTATGGATACTTTGTGTACAGATTATAATGCATCCTTGACTTTTGTCACTGATTTTTATGCAACGACACCTTATTTAACACACATCATTGAACTACCAAGCGTTGTAGTGTAAGTCTTTGTTGTTATTGTTCTTTTTTTTTTAGAAAATTGCATTAACGCATGTTATTTAGTAAAGCACTTGCTGCTCTTGTTCGCTACTTGAAAGAGTTTCAGTTGTCAGATATTCTCAAATCTGCCAAGTTTTTCTCTCATTTTGTATCCAAGAGTCATATGCTTCTGAACGGCAACACATTGGTCAATCTTGAGGTCTACCGTAACAATACTGATTTTACAGAAAAGGGGTCCTTGTTCTCAGTCTTGAATCATACTAAAACGAAATTTGGACAACGTCTGTTAAAGAAATGGATTGGTAGACCATTGATTGATATCAGGCAAGTCAACATCCCTTTTTTTCTTTTTTGGAGGGGGGGGGGAGTCATTATGTCCTAATCAATACAAAAATAGCAAATTGAATGAACGTATGAATGCTATTGAAGAAATTATATCGACAACAAACTCAAAAAAGAATCTGCTTCTATCTACTTTTCGTCAATTACCTGATCTTGAAAAAGGATTATGCCGAATTCATTATGGAAAAGTAAGCTGATCATGACTCTACCTCTTGAATTTCTGACCATGGATAGTCAACACCCATAGAATTAGTCCAAGTGTTGGATGGATTTGTCAAGGTGTCCACTGCTTTTCACCATGTCAATAATATTGAGTTTAAATCAAGATTACTAAATCAACTCTTTGGTCGACTTCCTACAGTTCAATCTATTGTATCCGAGTTTCGATCCGCCGTTCAACCTACCAAAGACAAGGTTCATTTTTTCCTGTCAGAAGAGAGATGGCCTGAGATTCCTCGAGAAAAAAACAACATAAAGTCTATTGAACATATACTACAGGAACATTTAGCAGAACAAAAGACAGCCACCGGTCTTGAAGATCATTTGAAGTTTGTTACGGTAGCAGGTATTGACTATTTGTTTGAAGTATCAAATGCCAAAACAAAAAGTGTACCTCAGGACTGGATCAAAATAAGCGGAACAAAGACTGTCAGTAGATACCATGACAAGTTTATTATCCAAAAATTAAAGGAGCATGAACAACATCGAGAAATGCTGGCTTTATGCGCTGACAAGGCTTACAAAAGCTTTCTTGTGTAAGTTGGATTCTTTAATCCCCATATGGGCTCATGTTCTTGTTTAGTGATATTGCACAACATTATGAAGATTTGCGTGATGTTGTGTCTTGTCTAGCTCAATTGGATTGTTTGCTGTCATTGAGCATCACCGCAAGTCAAACAGATTATGTCAAACCAACGTTGGTTCAAACACATGAACCTTACATGGATGTCATTGAAGCTCGACATCCTATCATTGAACACCTTACATCCAACTATGTATCGAATGACATTCAACTGGGCCATCCACACAAGACATTAATTTTGACTGGACCTAATATGGGCGGTAAAAGTTCTTATGTTCGTCAGATTGGATTGATTGCCATGATGGCACAAATAGGATCCTATGTACCTGCCAAAAGTGCAACCCTGGGGATGCTGGATGCCATCTATACACGTATGGGAGCATCTGATAATATGATGCGCGGTGAAAGTACGTTTATGGTCGAACTAAACGAAACATCCGACATGATGCGACATGCTACTTCACGATCCTTGGTGATCTTAGACGAATTAGGAAGAGGCACAAGCACACATGATGGACAAGCCATTGCGTATGCTGTACTCAAGTATTTTGTTGATTTGGGTTCATTAGCGTTGTTTGTCACGCATTATCCATCTTTAGGTAATATGTCGCAAGAGTTTCCCGACAAAGTCAAGAATGGTTTTATGGGTTTTTTAGAGGAAGAAGGACAAGATGGTAATAGAGAAGGAATGTTTTCAATGTTTAATGCTTGTTAGGTATTTCCGATATTGTTTTCTTGTATAAACTAGTGAATGGTATTGCTTCAAGTAGTTATGGGTAACAAAAGAAAACATGATGATATCATTTTGTTTATTTGTTTGTTTAGAATGAATGTAGCAAAGTTAGCAAACATACCGGTTTCAGTAATTAAAGCAGCAAAAAGCAAATCAGAACAACTTCAAAAGGAAACTGACCAGTTTGGCTTGAAGCAGAAACACATAGATTTGTTACAGCGTATGATGTCAAACAAGTTATTTTAAACAACTACCATTTCACGCAAATAATAAATTTTAAACAAATGACATTCTTTTTATTCATTTTATCGTTGTTTACATTAAAAAAAAAAGAATATGCAAAAGTAGCCCTTAAACATATATAGCAGGCAAGATAGATATATATAACGATACATGTACACACTCTTTCTCTCATACACACACGCATCATAAAAACTAGAGGAATATACAAACTAAAGTAGGGTATGTTGTGCTTTTTTGGTGGGGAATATAAAAAAAAAAAAGGGAGAAAGAGGGAAAGAGTCATGTACAGAAAATTTAAATCTTGAGCATAGACCTCAAATCTCTTTGAATTTGAGAGAGGTCTTGTTCAAAAGAACGCTCTTGATGTGAGTGAGATAAGAGGTTCATTAAATCTCTAGAATGTTGCTGAAGATGAGTATTGGTACTATACGAAAAGGCTGGTAAAGGTAAAGCACTTGGTGCAGGTGCATTGTTAAACGTGGGACCAGCATAGACTGTGGCGCTGCTTCTAGAATCGACAGCACTGGTTGATCTACGACGATTTCTTGAGTTGCTCTCCCTAACAGGAAGTTAGTTTCTGTCTTTTTTTTTTTTTTTTTGTAGATAAACAATATACTTTTTTGTTATCAGAGTAGAAAGAGTATGGACAAGTACTGGAGAGGGTGATGCACTGTGATGTTTCTTGTTTCCTTGAGACTTTTTTTTCTTTATGTTAGGTCTCTTTTGTTGTAAAGTGTCCAAGGAGTCGTCGGATTCAGAAGAAGAAGAAGAAGAGGGTAAGTCAAGGTGAAGAATGGCTTCTGTCATGGATTTTATTTCCTTTCTACGTTCAACTCTTCTTTGTTTAACAGGTAATACGGTTCTTCTCTGTTGTGGAGTTGTAGGAGCAGAAGCAGATACTTTTTTTGAAGGAGTATTCTTTTTCTCTTTAGTAGGATTGATTCCCTGTTGCTTTGTATGACTTTTATTCATTTTAGGTGGATATCTATTTAAGCCTATGGTAGGCATATTTTTCATAACAAATGGTTTCATAACAGCAACAGTAGACATATTGAAGAAAAGAAGGAAAAAAGGGAGAGAGAGAAAATATATATATATATATATTTAGAATGGGTGTGAATAAATCTTTCCTATCGCAAAATACTTTATCCATCATGCAATTGAATTTTTACTGGACATGTTTCAATGCCTGCATTCATTGTTTAAATAAACAACATGTGCCTTTTGAATGAAAAAGGGAGTTTTATTGTGTAATTTAAAATCAATCAATCAAAAAAAAAAAAAAAAAAAAAAAAAAAAAAAAACTCAAAATATGCAACTCCTTTTCTCTTTTTCTTTTATATAAACAGAATGTCAACAACATGGACGGACACAACAACCATGATCAACAAGTTACGCTTGTCACTGCATGAACCTTCTTTTCCTTTTCGTATAGGAGATCGAGTTCAAGTGAATTCATTGTTTGGCATCATTCGTTTTATTGGACCAACAAAATTTAAGGCTGGTACTTGGGTTGGTATCGAACTAGACACAGTAGGACTAGGTAAGAATGATGGATCAGTAGATGGGTAAGTAGACAGCTATCATCACACATCATTTATACTTTATTCTAGTAAACGTTATTTTATTTGTCCTCCCAAGACTGGACTTTTTATTCTAGCTATCAAATTAGTCAAACAACAACCAGTGCCACCACCACTACCTTTGCATCAACATCAATGGATTGAGAAAATAGAGGCTCTGGAAGCTGAAAATAGACAACTCAAGAAAGAACATCAATCACAATTAGCATTAAAAGATAAACACATTCAACATCTCGAAAATAGTATAGTGGATATTAAAAAAGCAAGTATAGATAGTATAGAAATACTAGAAGGCATGGTACAAGTCAACTATCAAAAAGTACAACAACTAGAGTATGCTCTTCAAATAGAAAAGCAAAAGTTACACGCATCCGTAGCCGAGAAAGATGATTTACAGAAATCAGTGTTAGAAGCCATTGGGTCTTATGAAATATCCCTAAATACAATTGAAAATAAGCGAAAAGAACAACAAGAAAGACACCATCAAGAAATCAAAATATTACTTCAAGATATTCATGTGCTTGAAACTGCCTTGCAATCCAAACTCGATAAAGAGACAGATTTAATGCATTCACTCAGAACAGCACGGCAACAAAGCTTAAAATTGAACTCTGAATTAAAGAAATATACACACCATATCAAAATCAACACCTCTTTAGATAATCGATGGTCAACATTTATACCAAGAGATCGATTGTTGGATACACCTATTGAAGAGGAAGAAGACGAAGAAGAACAAACGGAGGAAGATGACTGTATTCTATGCGGGAACAAAGGACACCATTTAATTCATTGTCATCTCTTGAATTCCAATATAATACAACAGGCTTTATTTTAATGGAACGTGCGTTGTGTATTTTTAGATATTTTAATTTAATTTCTTTTTCTAAAAAGCCTATTTACCCCAACATACAAATAAAGAAGGGATGAGGAGTCAAATGGCGTATAATAACAATAAAAATAAAAGAAAAAGAAGGGTTAATCATGACAGCCTTCAAATGGACAATATGTTAATAGACCAAGATCAGTAACATTAGTTAATTTGAAGTAGACCAGTCTCAATGGCATAAACTCAGCCCTTTTATATTCCCGCTTTACATGTATAGCATTATTATTCTATGATCAAAAGTTGGCAGCAGATGACGATATGCTTACTACTGTTAGTTAACCCCACAAACACTTTTAAGAAGGCGTTATTTATATTCCTGAACAGGAAGCTTCCGTTGATCTTAATCCTTTGTGACCAATGACGCATACATCAAATGTTTAGAAAATTAAACAAGATTTGTTTATTCTAACAAGGTTCAGAATAGCCTTGTAGTACACGACCAGCTAAATCACCTAATTTGTCTATCGTATAACCACCTTCTTGCACAAACAAGACAGGTCGTTGTCTAGTTCCTTGAGATGTCTTGATGCATTGGCCCATCTTTTTATACGCGTCCATGTCTTGAAGCCCCTTCATACCAGCAATAGGATCTTCATGCCAGGTATCTAGACCCATAGACACAATAACAATGTCCGCTTTGAACTGAACTACTTTAGTGCCATTGAGCACATGGTCAAGATGATAAAGATAAATTTTATCTGTCGTTGTGTTTGGATCCAAAGGCACATTGATATTATAGCCAAGGCCAGCACCTGTACCTTCTTCTTCCTCTGAACCAGAAACAAAAGGGTAGTTGGGATAACCATGAAGAGAGACATAAAAGACAGTAGGATCTTCATAGAAAATATCTTGTGTACCATTGCCACTATTAGGATAACGTCAGTCAATAAACAAAAGACGGGTGTGGTCTATTTACTGGTGAAAGTCGATATCGACAATCAAGATTTTCTTGCTTTGACCCAAAGGCGTAAATCCAGCATCTTGACGGACTGAATCAAAGCAATAAGGCTTCTTTACCTTGTTCATATCTTGCAAGGTATAGTTTTGTAGAAACCGAGCAGCCACAGCTGCATTATTGACAAGACAATAACCAGCGGACATTTGATGAGAAGCATGGTGGCCGGGAGGTCTGCATAAAGCATAAATGGCCTGTTCGCCCTCACCATGTGTCGTCATCTCCATTAATTGGTGGGCAGCAGAAAGTACAACTTGAGCAGAAGCATAAGTGGCCCGCCACGTATCTGAATTCAGATCGTGTGAACGACTTGAGTTTAGCCGAATAATAAAACTCACCTTGGACAAATCCCACAGACATATCACCTATGAAATACCCCATTTTACCTTGAGGTGATTGAAATGCATTTTTCTTGGCGATTTGAGGGTCAAGTTTACCGATAAATGAATGAGTAGCAAATGTATCACCAATACAAGCGTTTGGAGGAAGACCTTCAGCTATCCATTCTTGATAGATGGTTGCCAAGAACTTGATATAATCTTTTTCATGAACATCTAGAATAGGACCGAGTGAGTAATCGCTGGGTTCGACTATTTCAAATTCAGGATGCGTCTCCATAAATTGTTTGATTGACTCTAATCGTTTGGGAGATTCTAAATAGAAATGTGTTTGTGTGTGTCAGTTTCAAAGCAATAAATCAATGCTATATTACCGATATAGGGTTTACTTTCACCACTTGTTACTTCTATAGGAGGGTTGTGTAAAAGACCATCTTTACCATAAACTACTTTCATATTTTATTTTAGTCTTGTACAAGAGAATAGAATAGAAAAAAAAATCCTGGTATATATAATAATTTAAATCACATGATCAAAACACAACTTGAACTTTTCACAATCGATAGTCTGTCAACAACATGATTGAGTATAACAAACCTGAGATTGTGTTACCCAAAGTGAAATCAAAACCAACCAGTAATTCAATCTCGATAAAGAAAACGACTGTTTTATATAAAAAGTATTTTATGAGTTTGATTTTTTTATTATGAAAATAGTATGAATATAGTATTATTTAACAAGATGAAGGATAAAGTATTTTTTTGGATTGCTAAGAAAAAAAAGGGAAAGGGGGAGGGGAGGGTGTATATGTGCATTCAATAAGTGTACAATGGTGTCTTTTTCTTTTTCAAAGAGAAAAAAAAAGAAAAAAAGAAAATTAAAAGTATATACTGTGGAGAGGTTCTCTTTTTTTGTATGGGAGATAGGGTAAAAGAGTTGATTACTGATCAAAAGAGAGTCGGCGGTCATCATAACCAGAAGATTCAGAATTAGCCGACGATGAAGAGCCAACCAACTTGCTTAAGTTTGAGTAGATGTTGCTAGATAACTGTTCCGAAGTGCGACGCAAATACGCTTGCTATTGAAGGTTCACGTTAGTTCTCTATCACTCTTTCTTCATATACAAACTTACCACTACTTCACAATCACAGTTACCGTGGGTCAAGAGTAAGTTGCGCAGATAGATGCTTTCTTCTCTTAATTGTGAAACCTGTTCTTGAAGTTCTTTGTTTCTGTTTTCAAAAGTCACCGATTTTTCTTCGAGATCATGGATCCACTTCTTCTTTTTTTGTCGGCAGCGGTAAGCGGCTTCACGGTTTTTTTCCAAAAGCTTCTTTCGTTGCTTTCTGGGTGGGGTGTCCGAAGTAGCAGAAGGTGGCGTGAGAGGAGCCGGTGGGCGTACCAGCTCTGTGTTTGTACTGTAGTTGTCGTCTTCTGGGCTTGGTGGCATCATCATCATATTGTGTGTATTAGATTGAACTTTTTGGTCAAAGAAGTTTGAGGCGGCATCAAAGGGATTGATTTCATTCATGTAGCTAAAGCCAGCCATAGTAGCAGGACGATTGAAACTCCAGTCAGTATTGTTTACGCTTGTGTCCATAAGTAACTTTGTAGGTGTTAAGGTTGCTGTTGGAGCTTGATATGTATCTACTATTATTCCGACAAGTTAGTTTTTTTCTCGGTTCGATTTCAAAATATGACATGTAAAAAAGAAGGAATAAAATTTACCTTTAAACATTGAAATAAAAAAACAGGTAGTTTCTTGTAAGCAGAGAAAAAGAAAAAAAAAAAAAAGAAAAAGTAAATTAGAGAGATGAAAAAAAAAAGATTTGGAAACCAAGACCTTTTTATGTTCAATTTTTTTTTTTTTATTCGAGGTTTTTATGGTTTTGGATAAGCGCATTTTCTACTTTTAGTGCGCCATTTATGCAGAACACAAGCCTCTCTCCACTAGGCCTGAAAAAAATTTGCTGGTTCTCACTAACCCTTTTTCGGAGGGTAATATTTGGTTGGGCAAGTTTTGATAAAATGAGAGTGTGTGTACACACACATATAAAGTTAATTTAAATAAATTTCCTGCATACAATGGAAAAAGAAGAGAAAATATAACCGAATGACAGCTATTTAAGTATTGTCAAAGATAATTTCCCGTTCTGAACATGACTTGTAGTTCGTTATATAAAGGACATTATATCAACAAAGGCCCATTTTTTTCTTTCTTTTTGTTTCCAATATACACAATATTTTTTTTTGGTTTATCATTGTACGTGTGACAAACACTAACTATCGCAGAAAGAAAGAGAATAAAATAGAATGTCTTCCATTATCCATTTACCTGGCATGCGATTTATTCGAGATGGTCAAATAGAAGAATTAGATGAACAAAACATCAAGGAGAAAAATGCATGTTTATCTCAGCAACAACAACAACAACAACAACAACAACAATGGAAACATCAAGAAGGATTCTATAATACATCAGAATATTATGAAAACCTATTGCGTAATAGATCCTACCTTCAAGCTAATGCGCCTGGCGCATTACCTCCGCCTAATCATCACCATCACCACTATGATTTCTCACCACAACAGGTGTACCCCTCTTATTTTACAGCCGCCGCTACGCATCTAGAACATCAGCAACATCAACAACAGTTAGACTTACAAAAAAGACCTATTAGAAAAAGAAGAAGACCACCCCATTCCTATGCTTCCTTGATTGCTCAGGCTATCTTGACTTCCAGGGATCAAAGATTGACACTAAGGGAAATATACGAATGGGTACAGACCAGATATCCTCATTTGTACGAAGCCAACGAAACCGGTTGGCAGGTAAGCATCTCCATATAAAGTAAGGCGTAATGGCGGAAGATTAATCCAGTTTTTTTTTTAAAAAAACAGAACACAATTCGCCATAACCTATCTCTGAACAGATGCTTCCGTAAACTCCCACGTTTGTCTCAGGATAATGCAGGAAAAGGGAAAGGTAGCAAGGGTGGCTATTGGACCGTGGACCTTGAACAGTTAAACAACACTAACTTTGGTCGTCAAATTCTTGATAGCGGATTTCTAGGCAATATTGAGTATTGGCACCAACAGCAACAACAACAGCAACAACAACAACAACAACAACAACAACAACAAGAGAGAGTAATAGTGGATGAAATTGATTTCAATAGTCTAGTGGCACCTTTCTATCCTCCTAGCAATATTCCTTCAGATCAAGATGACCATCGATACACAACTGAAGTGGATGAGAATGTTCGTATAACTTCTTTTTTAGCTCGGTTTAACAACAAAAGGTCCATATCTTCACTGGGCAGCATGACAAGTTCTAAGACAAGCTCAGTAAGAGGTTCTGCATCTCCTCATTCACCTGCTACTACGGATATGGAAACACCTATTCTTTCATCTACACAACTGCAGCAACAATATCATCAAAAAATAGAAATGGATCCCTTGTTAAATCCATCTTTGATGAGAGTAAATAACATTTTAAATTAACTTGAATGTATATAAATGGTAATAAACACGATATGTCATAATCCTATATTCTATAGCACACGTTTTAGCCCAGTAGTATGGTAATCAACTCAACTTGGATTCTGCTTTTAGCTTTTGTTCTATGTGGAAAAAAAAAAGCATAAAAGAAAATCAAGGAACAAGCTTTATCCTTTGTTTTTAGCTCCTTTTTGAATTGGTTAAGCCATTGTCTTATTGTTTTTTTTGGAGGCTAGATTCATGGAAAGAAATGCTGCTGTTGTCTCGTTTGTTCTAAAAAAAAAAGCGAAAAAAGATAGGATACTATATTTGAAATTGTCAAACATAAAACTTTATTTTTCAATTGGGCCCGTGTGTCAAAGAGTTAAGGTTTGGTCATTGTTGATTGGCTGTTTTTCTAAACTAAAAAAGATCAACAACGAACTAAAAGAGTTTGTATTTTGTTCCATATGGCAAATCCGCTAAAATGTCTCTAGCGATTTTAGCACACCTCCTTCTTACACTATACCACTCATATACCGGTTTTTTATCTTTTTAGAATAAACCAGTAATTGTAAAATAGTGCGTTTTTTCTAAAAAGATAAAACCTAAGTCTAACGAAACAACTAAAGTTACACATGATGCAACCAAATGACGTGAATCCAATAATTGCAATAAAGCGATTGTGTGTGTATGTTTTTTTTTAGTGTCCATCATTATGTCATCATCATTTTATGTTTTAAAACATTTGTTTTTGTGTCACTCTTCTCCCTAATCAACAATTCTGGAAGCATGAAAGAATATTTCTTATCTGCTTTGTGATGTAAGAATATGATTTTTTTTATTCAGTCTATTCATTGGTATTAAAACCTTAATTTTAATAAGTCTTCATGAAACCCATGGCCATTTCGTATGCAAAGAAAGTAGCAGCATTAGCAGGGAAAGCTCTGACAAGTGTAGGACCAATACCATTAATAAAAGCCTTGGGTCCAGAAGTCTTGTAGAGTGTCTTAACCACTTGTCCAATGGATTTGTAACGAAGGTCGTTTTGAAAGTTACTCTTGATCACATCTTGAGGATAAGCAGGAATCCAAGCAGCAAAACCAGAAAAGCCACCAGCCATTAATAATTCAAATGTGCCCAATTCACCATCTGCCTTCATGGATTGGAATAATTTCTTTAATCCTTCATAACCAACTATAGTCGATCATTAGCGTGTCAGTATTAACAAGAGAGAGAGAGAGAGGATCATACCGAAATAAGCAAAATAACTGGGTGTATCTCTCAACAAAGTGATGCCCATACCACGGTAAATACCCAATAAGCCCTGAGCACGGACTGTACGGACACCACAATCAATGACACCCTTATACTATACACAGCCATGAACAAAGACACTTATTTCATCTATACTTACAGCAGGTTCATGCTTTCCTTGAGCATTAATGAAACCATTAGGATCTTGTGTCTGCAATTTAACCTTGAGTAACTCAATTGGACAGTTAAGGAAAGCCATGACAGAACCAGCAAAAGAACCAGCAATACCATATTCAACTTGTGTCTTTTAATTTCTCTTTTGCTCTCTTTAATCTAACTTACCAACAGTCAAGCTCTTCTTTTCATCAGCACCTTGTAACATACGCCTTGACCAACCATTTGCCATAAACATAACGGCATTACTATGTACCATCAGCATACACTATCCAACACTCTCTCTTTCTCTATGACTTACCAAAAACCAACACCAGCGAAAGGGGACATGACTCCTCTGTAAAGACCTTTAGGCTATCATGCAAATAATAAGGTACCGAAACAAGAAAAAAATTTTTTTTTTACAACTTACACCTTCTTCTTTCACAAGTTTTCGAAGACAATCCATGGCACCATTATAGATAGGTGGGGAAGGTTGTGTTTGCATACGCACTTTGATAGTGTCAGCAGGGTGACCTTTCAGTTCCTGATCAGTTACTGCCCTTTACTTTGTTTTTCTCTGTATTTCTTTACCAACAACAACTTGAGCCCAACCACCAATTGTGCCAGCAATGAGGTCTTGAGCAAGTTTTGGGATAAGCGGCTTCTTTTCCTGGTTAAGTGCTGTCAAGGCGTCCATGGTGAGCGTATGAGAAAAAGAAAAGAAAGAGTGTTGTATGACTCAAATTGATTCAGTTTAAAGAAAATGTGACGGTTGTCGTACAGATCTAGATTTTGCTTGTCAGATTACATCTCATTTAATGAATGCAGGTACAAAATATTATTTATTTATAAAGAAGGTCTAAATTATGCTGATTTCTTATTACTTTCACGATCTGTTAAAGGCTTGATGTATTTGGCATGGTAAGGTGCAATGCCAACACTTCCTGGTGCAGCCAAAAGGGTTTCAAAATAAGCTAATGATCATTAGATATACATAACATGAAGGCTTTACTTACGTTGATAGATATCACCATCGTAACGAGCAATAGGTGCTTTCAATACAAAATCAGGATGTCCAAAACCATCTGTAAGCCCGATAACTTGGCTACGAAGCGATCTACAGGTGTCAATGTATGTCTTTTCAATACTGATAATGTGCTGAGGTGTGAAATAACCTTCTTTAAAACCTTGATCACCATAGGTATGAAGGACATGAAGACCCCAAACAGCAGTCAGTTTTTTCATGATCGCCAAGACACTAGGTTCAATGCCTTTGGTTCCAATGGGTTGACCAAACTTTTTAGCACCGATATGGAACAGATAGGCTGCACAATGAAGTTCTGCTACTCGAACAGATTCAAGCAAAACATCAGATCGATTCTTGTGAGCCATACGAATACTATTCAACTAGATAAAATGAGTGAGTTATTTAGGCAGACATACAAAATATATATAAAAAAAAGTATACATACTCGCTTTACAAGCACTGTATTTAATGCTTCTTCAATCAATGTGAAATCGGTAAGACAATCAGAAGCATCTGTGACAGACCAGACTTTGTTTTCAAGATATATTTTAGCATCCTTGATGTAATGAGAAGAACTTTCGAACTGAAGCTTAGGATAAGTATCATGTTCTAGTTTTTTGTCCAATGTATACACGAGGTAACGGCAGGCTTGTTGTAAAAGTACTACATTATCACCACCGCCTGTTGTCATCACACCCCAATCAGCAACGAGTTGACCAATGGCATTATAAGAAGAATAAGCATGTCCACCACAGCTTCGACGGCATGTTTCAAGGATCTCTGTTGAATACCAACCAGCCAATCCTTTGAGGGAAGAAGCCAAAGCATGCATATCACCCATATGATTCAAATAGATAGTAGGGTCCATCTTACCACCTGCAATCAAGACCTCAAACTGTCCATAAATTTCAGCAGAAGAAGTCTTTAGCATATACATGAACGCTATAGCAGGGATGAGCTTGGCGTAATGCGATTGATAGTCCATGATTTGCTGGTTTTTATCGCCTTGACGGCGTACAACACCATAACGAGTTGTAATCGTAAGCGCTTGAGAGATGAGCTGTGTTGTGACGCCGATCAGAGCAAGACGCTCAGGGATCAAAGTAGCATACATGACAGCAGGATTGGGTGCTGGAGAATAGTTTCCGTGACGATCCAGACTCACCCATTTAGACAACATATCTCGACGAGGAATACGTCTCTTATTGAACTGAATCCAACCGTTATCTACACCGGCATGGCCTACTTTTTCGCCAATGTCGCCAATAAATACGCCTGGTTCCAGTGCACCGTCATGCTTGTTACGAACTTGAACAACAAACCAGTTTAAGCCGACTTCTTTACCATGGATAATGGTTTGCGCAATGACTACTGCATGCGTCGCTGTTTCAGCAGCACCACCGATCCACCATTTGGTAGAAGTAATGGAGGGAGAATCAAGCACAAATTCATCTGTGGCAAGATCAAAGGTAGCTGTTGTCTCAATCTCACGCAAAGCAGAACTATGACCTAGTTCAGTCTAGCAGAAACCATAAGCATCAACATAGAATCATATTCAATGTACCATTGCAAAACACCCAAATAGTCTATAATCATCCACCTCTTGAACGTATCTTTCTTGTTGTTCTTTATCGCCAATCATGTTGACCACATTTTTGAAAAGCGAATTTGATACAAAGAATCGCATGGCAAAATGCTCATTGTAATTGGCAACAGCATTCTCTATTTCTTTAATAAAGTCTTTGTCATTGATTTCAGATACCAGTTGATGGACTCGATAGATTTGTCCCATGGTGCTATATATATTGCCATCAATCATTTGTTTTTAGCTTGATGACTTACAATTCACGCATTTCTGGCCTTGAAAGCCCCAGATAATTACGAGGTGATTGAATGACCAACAAAGGGTCATGTTCAATAAGGGCATGTGCCTTTTTAACTAACTCGTATTTTTGTTTCCCCCCGGCCCATAATGCAGCAAGTGCTTCAATGTCAAATTCTGCGGCGATACGTTCTTTTGCCATATCCTTGGGTGCCTGGCGAGACATAGGGGAAGGAGACAAGTTTAACTGGTTCTTGATTTGCTCAATACGAGTCAGAGCGATTTTTGTTTGAGAATCCATGGTATGAAAAGCAAAAAAAAAAAAGAAAAAGAAAAAGAAAAAAGCTTCTTATTTATGAATAGTGCTACAAAGCATAAACTGAAAAGGTAAAGTTTAAGCTGAGATAACAAGGTTTACTCTTGTACACTTGTTCAAACCCTTTCTTGTAGCCTATTCTTGTTGCTTAAATGCAAGTGTTTGTTAAAGTGGCGAACAAAGGTCTTGTAAGTCTACTTCAACTATCTCTCTCTCTCTCTCTCTCTCTTTTTTTTTTCTTTTTTTTTTTGAAGAAGTCTAGATATCAACAAACATGATTTATATTAGACTGATATTCTCACCCGAAAAAAAAAGAAGTGTGAGATTTCACTCTTTTTCTCTTTTTTTTTTTTCCTGGGAATGAATTTCTTGTGTTCTCTTCATTTAAAATGAAGGCTATGATGGTCACTTTTCTTGCCGAATCTACAGTATCTGTTTCAGATGACAGTAATAAATACAACAGGATAAGCATCCTAATAAGTATAACAGATAGGATATGACTTTGCTTGTAACTTGTTCGAGAAACTATGCCTGCAAAAGCTTTACTAATATGATATCCAAAGAAGGATGGGCAAAGAGGCACAAAAAAAAAAGATATACAAACAAAAAGGGAAAAATACATTAAGCTCTTTGATAGACTAGGTATTGTATATCAAGAAGACGAAGTAAGCATCAAGAGAGTCTTTTTATTATGCTTATTATTATTGCTTTTGTTTGTGATATTTTTGATGCATGACATTTGGTTTCTTTTTATCGTAAATTACGTGCTAGATAAAGCTTTCAAAAGTCAGAAAAAGCACCTTCTAATACTTCTAGACACTACTCATACATAGAAACAGAGTTTATAAAGTTAGACGAGGCTTTTGAGACCATTTGAAGCATGAAAAGTTGATTTATTCAAAATGGCCAAAATCGAATTCTTTTTTAAAGGGGGTTTACCTTAACCAGTTCATTTTAAACCCCGTTTTTACTTCTTTTGAGCTTTGTGTATCCAAGAGCAAGGATATTGACATCTTCAAATGTTCGATACGATCTCAAGAGACTGTAGTCTCTAACAAATGTATTTGTGCGAAATTTCTACTCTAAAAATAATGTGTTAGAGCCAGAGATATAAAAACCGATTTTGTTATTTTACTCAGAATCCTATTAGTTGACTCTATCTAATTCTTATACCATTAGAGCCGCAATCTAAGAATCTATAGCCTTTATTAATACGTCAAGAAGCTAAATGCTTGTTTCAAGTCCTTTTTTAAGAAAAAACTGATTTATGAATTTTTTAACCATTTTGAAACGAAGCCAGAATCTATATATTTAAACTCAGAAAAACATGCAAGCATGTCCACACGCGTGTACGAAACGGTGTGTTTGTAGTGGGCTAACAAGTAACGCATACTCACGTACAGAAACATCTTTTTTTTATTTTATCTTTTTTTAAAAAAAAAAAAAGATAATCATGGAGCAAGGTAAACCATAGTGACATACCTTTTTGATTAACTACATGAATAAAACTAATACACAAATAACTTCAAATTTTTTTTTATGATAATAGAGGTAAACACAATATAACACGTTACACCCTACTCAACAACTATATTTTAGCTGTATTACTTGATTGCCAAGTTTCTGGCAGCAGGACCTTGTAAAGATGCAGCACGCGTACTAGAGTATGAATTAAATCAGCATCGCGAACTGTTGCCGCATACAATCACATATGAAGGCAAACAGGTGCCCATGACTTTAGATCGACTTGTAAGCATCGTTGTTTCATAGATCTTATTGATTTATTGTGCCATAGTCAAAAGAGTATCCCGATATCAGGAATCATTATCTACTGGACCTGTTAAGCAATTTTCTAAGTCATTTTAAAGAGACAGGCAATCCTGCTGTTTTACGAGTGAATGCACTAAGGCATGGTGATAAATCATTATTTACCATGCTCTCAGCCTTTGTACCTACAGAACAAGTACAATGCTGTAACTACCTAACAATGACACCCACACAGTTAAATAAGCTACCTATTCGTAAGTGAATCAGATCATTCAGCCAGTTATTTAACAGTGTTTTAGATCGTATGTTGATTGCGAGAGAAATGGGCGCCAAAGTCATGAAGAGACTTGATATGCCTACATCATTATCCACTTTTTATAGAGAGGTAACATGATTTGATCGTACGTAATACATTCCATTAACTGTGTTTCTATAGCGTGTTACTATTTCAGGTCACAGAAATCCAGTCTATTCAGTCGTGTTTGACAAGACAAATCGAAGGTTATTTACAGGCAGTGACGATTTCCTTGTCAAAGTATGGTGTGTAAGAACCGGTTGCTTAATTCATACGATTCGAGGCCATCAAAATGCGATTGCAGATATTGCAATCAATCAAGAAAATACACTGATTGCCACTGCTTCAACAGATGGATGTGTGCGTGTCTGGACTATGGACGAATACAAACCTATTATGTGCCTTAGACCCAATGCCAATACAGCAAGTATCCTAGATGTGCATGTGTAGATAGATTAACAAGCCATAGATCAAACCATTTACGACTGTTAAATTCTCACCTTCACCTAGAGCAGAAACACGGTATTTAATGGCAACAAACGAGGATGGGTTTGTTCGATTATGGCGATGGGATCGTGACACTTTACAGTTCTTTGATATCGATACACCTATCACTTTCAGCTGTCGATTCAGAGCAAGGGATCGTCTGAGATGCTCTTCTTTCAATTATACAGGCACTAAATTTGCAGTAGCAGGTGATGATGGATTTGTCTATGTATTCTCTACTATTCCTATACAAACAACGCATGAAGGCACTATCATATCCAGTAACAGTCATGTTGATCCTTCAGACAATAGACCTGGGAGAGGAAGAAAACGATTTGCAAACGCACTCTTTCCAGACAAGAATGGCCCACAAAATTCGCAACCTGTGGTAACCATTGGCACATTAGAAGGACACATGGGCAGTGTGACTGATCTAGCATACAGTCATGATGGTCAGCGTATCTTAAGTGGAAGTCAGGATGGCACAGCACGTATTTGGAAGTTTGATAAAGATACAAAGCAATGGCATTCTATTGTACTCGATTTGAAGATACCATTACCCAATACGCCTATAGTCAGACCCTCTATACCTAATTCAACTGCTATGAGTCGGTCTAATTCGTATTGTGAATCGACAGCACAGAAAGAACAAAAAGAAGAACAACAAGAAGAAGAAGTGGGTACATTGATGCCTTCTTTAGAGAATGACTCTAGTGTTACTTGTATGGATATGGATCCACCCAGTACGATAGAACATACTGATCCTCCCAAAGTATCCATGATTGCCTGGAGTGCAGATGACCGATGGTGTATTATTGCATCTAACCAAGGTGATATTCGAGTCTATTATGCTTATAATGGCGAACCAGCCTGTGTGCTTAAGGGACATGAAGGCGAGATTTATGCACTTGACAATCACCCGCTTGACCCCAGTACTGTTTTATCCGCAGGTTATGATGGGAATGTGATTTTGTGGGATATTCAGAAACAAAAAGTGATTACATGCACGAACCATGTAGGCAGAACATTCACAGACTGTAAATTCTCTAAAGATGCCATGAAATACGCTATTACAGATGAGGAAGGTCATTGTACACTCTTCAGTATTGGTGGACTAGATAAGGATTATGAGCAAGTACGCAGTTGGGAACGAGGACAGTATTTCATGTCTGATTATCAAGCACTTCGACATTTTGTGGATGGTACTTTTGTAGATGAGCCCACACAACAGATGCCTTATGCTATGCCTTATTCACCCATCATTGATCTACAAGGTGTAGCCTATCCCAACCAAAAGAAACTCGGGTATGGTAGAAACATCCCAACCACTTCCGAAACATTTGAATTAGAAGACATGAAGCGATCTGCTTGTTACAACCAAGAAGAAGAAGAGATTCGTAAGATCAAGGTGATTGTCTTGCCTGCTCTTGATCGAGCCACAGTGGCCAGGAGACGTCGAGATTTTGTCAAGAACGAAGATGAAGATGAAGACAATTTGGTCGCGAATGCTAATACACTCTTTCAGTTTCCTCCTCCTGTCTTGCCGGCTCTTTTGCCTGATGATTCAGAAGATGAAGACTATCATGATGATGAGCAAGGAAATGCAGCCTATGTTTCAAGTGCAGCTAGTAGTGATGAAGCTGGTTCAGAAGACTTTGTTGCTCGGGATGATGAAGATGTTGAACCACATAGTGACGAAGATGGCGATGAAGAAGGACCTGTCACACGCAGTCGAGCAGGTCAATTACATACACCTTTGCCTTTGAGATCTTCTCGTACTATCAATACCACCAATCGAGCCAGCAGTACAAGTAGACGCCGTGGTCGTGGTCGTGGAGGAAGAGCAGGCCCCGGAAGAGGCAGAGTGGGTCGTCCTGCTCGTAAGAGAACAAGAGAAAGATCAGACGACGACGAGGAAGAGCAGCCAGTACGTGCTAGAGCAAGAAGGAGAAGGGTAGCTGAAAGACCAAGCTATGTTGAAAGTGATTTTGAAAGCGAACAGAGTGAGGACGAGCTTGTAGATGTGTTACAGGTGTATGAACCACAAGACGATAGTTTTGAAGCAGGCCCTTCAACTATAGCAACTAGACAGAACAACCATGTAGATACAGAAAAAACAAAAGAACCTGAAGACCGTAAAGGAAAGCGTAAATTACGATCAAGTACTTTTGAAGAACAACAACAACAACAACAACAACAACAACAAAAACAACAGCAACAGCAACAACAGCAACAACAACAACAGCAGCAGCAAACTCATCTATCCTCTGAAAGTAGTTCAGTCTATATGCCTTTCACAGCCATACCTTCTGTAGGTAGATTTACACGAAGTCGTTCTCATTATGCAGAAGCACCTAGTGTACCATCTACTTCAAAGCCCTCAGCTCCTTCAATTGCATCCAAACAATATAAACGAATAGGCAAACAGCGCGATGTACCTCGAGAATTAACCAAAGAAGAAATCAAAGAGCACGAACCTATTCCTTGGATCACCACTACTGAGCGTTCATTTACAAAATACTTGCCACAAGTAGGGGATATTGTAGCTATCTTGTCAGAAGGACACAAACAGTACTTGAGAGTATCTGAAATGAAGTCTTTATTCGACGAAAAACATGGTGTGATAGACAAGCATGAGCCTGTCTTGTTTTCCAAAATATTACAAATTACCTGGCAAGTAGGTCCACCTGCTTTCTGTAAGCTCAAATTATCCATGCTTCAAATCAGCAATTTACAACAAGTAATTCAGCGTCAAAGAGATCCTATTTGGGCACCACTTGGCCGCGAAGAATACATTGAATACACAGACGAAGATGGCAGCCCTGAATTTATTATCTTATGGCAACGCTTTTTGGCTTCCATGGATGTCTTTCTCAGTTTGAAGCGAGGACAAAAAGTAGATGCCATGTATGATGAAGGTCAATATACGGGTACAATTTCGCATTTCAATACGAATGGGCTGGAATGGAAGCAGGTTCATTTGCGTAGTCCTTGGGCTTATTATCATGTTATTTGGGACGATATGAGTTCTGCACCTGAAGATTTGTGTCCTTGGGAACTAGTACCCACCGGGCAAGACTTTAGAGCACGCTATGATGTTCAACCTAGCCTAAGACCCGAGCAGATTCAACGTGCAAGAGATGTGTTGGATTGGTTATCGAACACAGAAGACTTTTACTTGTATGTGCATCAAGTCAACTACTATGATTATCCTGCTTATTTGTCTATGATTTCTTATCCTATCTGTCTGGATATGGTACGAGAAAGACTCGAGAACAACTTTTATCGATCTCTTGATGTAAGTCAAACAAGCCAAAGTATACATGTCTAATTCAATATCAGGGCTTAATTGATGATGTTGAGTTGATTAAAAAGAATGCAATGCGTTATAATGCTGATTCTTCTCCAGCATATAAAAATGCTGGTCGATTAGCCAACTTTTTCAAGACACGTATTCAAAGTAAGTCTTTAGAAACAAAAAATCAGCCTATTTAACATGAACTATAGAGCCTTCTATGCCATTGTCTTTATCTCGAGGAGGCGCAACTAGAAAGCGTATCGTAAAAGAAGATTCAGACGATGAATATGATATTGAAGAAGCTCAAACTTATGAATCAGAAGACGAGCCTATTCCTAAGAAATCCTCTCGAGATGATAGAAAAGGCTATCACACAGACGATGATGATGATTTAGATGACTTTGTAAACGACAGTGAAGAGGAAGAGGAAGACGACTATTCTGATTAAAGATACCATTCATTGTATTTCTCAATGAAATAAATAAAATAAGGGTAACAGAATACAAAGAGTTTTTATTAAGCATAGAGAGCATAAAGATATTATACATTAGATATTAAAGGAGAGAGAGAGATATATATAAATATAAATATTAATTGTTCTTTTTGTGTCGTAAACTACACGAATGAAGTAGTTTATTCCATGTTTTACTTAGGGAGTGTATTACAGAAGGTTTAGCAATGGCTTGGTCTAACAAATCAGAATCTGAGCGTCTTTTTTTTACAGCTTTATCTTGTTGAATGGCTGTAAGTTTCATTAAGGGCATAGAAAGTCGATGTAAGGTTTTTTCTTGTGGATTGTTGTCAACAAGGGGTTCTACAGGCGAATAAACAAGTGGTTTAGGTGGATATTGTGTAATGACAGGAGGTTGAATAAGATGTGAAGTATTGGGCTGTTGTTGATGGTGATGGTGATACATGCTGGCATTATCATGCTGTTGCCTGTCTTTCTTTTTCAGATTGATAGTTGTGTTGATTGCAACTTTAGACAGTGGTAAAGCTTCTCTTGGCTTTTGACTCTTTCGTCTTTTCATTGCCCATGAATGAAATATAGATTCATCATCATAAAACTTGCTTTTTAGGTACATGGATGATTTTCTGAGCAGATCGACTGCTGATCTTGGACGTGTGCTTTTTCCGTTAGGTGCCACAGTGTTAGTGTCACGACCGTATCGTGTTTCTTGAATAGAAATAGAGCTTTGGTGTATGGATACTGATTTAATGCTACACTATAGACAATGGATAAATATACGCGGACATTCAATGTTGATTGTTAACCTGGTCAATAGAAACAATGCTATCATCATCTGTAGGATTTATTTTATCAAATTGGCTTAATAAATCTCTTGTAAACGAATTATGAGATTCTCTTGAAATGCCACTAGGCAAAGGCAGCCAATCATTATCACTACTCATGAAGGAAACAAAGAAAAAAAAAAAACCAGCAACAACAGAAAGAGGAGAGAGAAAAAAAAATAACAATGATTTTTTTTTTATTATTTATTTGTTAAAAGGGAGATGGCAAAAGTACTGTATTTGTCCTGATCCCACGTGTAATCATTTTGACATTAAGTTTGTTATGTATAATTAAATTATATGTATTTTAATCAAAACCTAAGCGGTGAATGGTATGGTCTGTTTCCACTTGTTCAATGGTGTCAAGTCTATCCCACCACTTGAACAAAAAGGAATTACAAATGAGCTTAAACCAAGGTGTCATAGGCACATCTAAAAAAAAGGGGTGCATATAAGTCACTGTTTCCTAGTTGTCCTACGATAACTTACTGGGATCAGCAAACATAGCCTTGAGTTCTTCAGGCGTGACATATTTGACATCGCGGATTTCATTAGGATTCACATTTAAAGTCACATCAGCCTTCATGAACAAGATGTAGTCCACTATACATACCATTGAGTACACTTCTTCCTTTTTTTTTCTTTCTTTCTTTCTTACCTTCATGTTCACCCCATTGACCATCGCTAGGGGCCAAATAATGAATTCGTGTCAAATACTTGAATTTATCAAGAGGCACTTGTTCAGGTTGAATACCGAGCTCATGTTCTAATTTACGTTGAGCAGCAGTACGGACACCAAGTTGTTCTTCTTCTACCAATTCAGAAGGAGTATTCAAAGGGTGAGAACAACAAGTGTTGGTCCACATATCAGGAAAAGTGATTTTCTCGGTAGCACGTTGTTGAAGCAAGAGCCTGTTATTGGAATCAAACAAAAACACACTGAAAGCACGATGCAAGAGACCAGTTTCAATATTGGTCATAAGGTGGCCTGTAAAGAAGTATAAGGAAACAGTATATATATATAAAAGGAGTACTTACAAGTCTTTTTAGAGTCGGCACCAATACGTTTGTCGTTTTCGTCAACGACAATACACATTTCTTCCATAAGACGGACTTGCTCTTCGTCGTATTCTTTCAAGTCAGGTGCCATTATTGTAAGGATATAAAAAAGAAAGAAAGAAGGAAGGAAAGAGAGATCTGAGAATAAGGAAAGAAAAAGATTTTTACTATCCGTTTAAGTAGGCGATTTAAACCAAAACCTTAGGTAAATTGTTAAAAAAAAAAAAAGTTTTCTTTGCTTTGTTTCCTATTATGAGCCATATTCCCAAGAAAGCATTTGTGTTCTACTGTCCAATAGAACCTGATCAACCTATTCCAAATGTTGACTCGATTACATTACTCGGATGTTCTGGTCAGATAGCTTTAGAGAAAACTAGCAACAATGGTAAAGCACCAAAATTCAATATGTACAAATAAGCTCAATATCTAAAGCATAGATATGTTACAGCTATTAGGTGTACACGATATGGATACAGATATTCAATGCTCATTTAAGCAGAGGTAAAGAAAAATAGCATTATTCTGACTTATTGACATATACCTCAAAGATTCAATGACATGTCATTACACATCTTCTCCAATTCATCTACTACAAAGGCTCTTTCAAAACAACTTGGTTGTACATGTCAGCCCATCGAATCAATAGATCAAATCAAACAGCAAGATAGCCATATCATCTTTGTTGATTTTACAGACGATACACAACATGCATGGCAATTTATCGACCAATTATCTGACCAACCAAGCGCAAATACTATCTATTGCATTATTTCACCTTCCAATGTTATACCTGACCAACAAAAACATTGGTGGGATACCTTAGTACCACGACAAAGCCATGTTATGAAGCATGGTAGCATTGTTGAAATACAAGACAGAAAGTGTGTCTATTCCTATCTACATACGGGCTCATGCCGTAAAGACAATACAACAAAATATACATCATCAGATATCATTCAGAATGGCAGCAACAACACTATTTTAGCATGGCACTTGATGGCAGAAATTGGCCACAAATTAGGTTTTGTTGAAAAATATGGTGCATAATAAAGGATGCAATTGCTCTCTCTCTCTCTCTTTTTTTTTCGTTATCTTTCACAAAATGTTGTTATCAAAGAGCAATCTAGAAACATTACGACAAGAGCAAGAGAACGGTCCTCAAGAGTCTAAGCTTGATAGAATCATTGCTTATATCAATGACCAAAGCGAACAATTTCCATATAATGGATTACCTAATAGCCAAACCAATGTCTCTATTCCAGAGTCTTGCAAAAGTGATGACAAATATAGTTATGCCATTTCTGCTTCTATTAGCGATATCATTCGACGTAAATGCGCTCAGCCAACCGTTGATTCTCCTGTATCGCAAATGAAAGAAATGAAGAAGAGACTGTACACACAATCTTCTTCTAATCATGGTCATAAGAGAGTCAAACAATCTTCAAAAGAAGAACATGCTGGCGCGACAACACTTCCTATATCAAAATCAAATGGGTTTCACCTACTACAGGTATACAATTGTTGTCAATTCAATAAATTAAACCATAATGATAGAAATTTGTTTCACCGAATTTAGAAATCGACAGAATTACAGTATGTATGTATACATTGGTATATTTGCTTGAGCTCTTTCTTTACGATAGATGAAATCAAATCATCATCATTCACAACCAAAGATTGGCTTGTTCAATAAAGGCAAATCATCAGCTCATGGGAAATCAGGTAAACAAACTTTAATTCAATAGATTTAACAACAATGAATTAGTTCCTGAATTAGTGTTTTCAGAAGAAAAGTTCTTGAAGAAACAATACGAATCACTCAAGCCAATGTCCAAAGCATATGAAGTTGAAAGCCATGTATCTCGCCATCCTTCTATCTCCAAATACTTTCAAAAGAACCCTTTAACAAGCATACAATCATCCCGTATGTCTAATTATACACAATCTCATTTTCAAAAGCCTTCTCCATCTCACACAGTGCCACATAATACCTCATTCTCTACCACTGCAAGTCCTGCTTATCAAAACCCAGCTTTATCTTCTAGACTTTCTAGTAGTGTTTACTTTTCTGTTACATCACATCGCCCTCGATATATTCAAGATATATTTGCTAAACAACAAATGCCATCTGCAGTTATTAATGGACACAGACCATCACAAATACTGGAAAATCGTACACAACCAGAGAACAATGACAAACATACAAGTCTTTCATCTTGTATTACTATTCAAAACCTCTTTAAAGAATGTCGAAACACACCTTCATTTGAATTGAAGCACAATAACTATCATGGCATTCAGCAAACCCCAACCTACGCTCGTGTAAGGACACCCAACTTGAGCAGTGTATCGCCTTCTGCTATATCTTGTTTGCATGAAGTCACACCAGAATCACCTAGGATGAATTCCTCCTGCTATCGTCAGACTAGTGCCTCCCCGTCAGAAAACTCTAGTCTTTATATATACTGTCAGAATCCTTCTCTCAAGAAGCCAAAATACCAAAAGAATAAGCCAGATCAATCCGATCCTGAAATGAGAAACAAGCAACATAAAAAGCCCTTAGACCTTAACTGGCAATTAGAAGATTCTATTCTCTCTTTCGATTCCAATGAAGAACAGGATGATTTTAACGCCATCATGAATTCGCCAGCAGTTCATTTACTAGACAAAACAATTCAACAAAGTGATGACAACATACAAAAATTCTTGCAAACACGATCCTATAAAAGAAGATTATAGATTGCTTTTCTTTTATAAATAAATATACTAGTTGTTTAGGTTTACTAAAGCAGTACTACTATAGCTAGGTGTGTATTTACGAATGATCTTTCGAAGAGCATTAGGAAGTGTCTTCCAAGGAAAGACCTTGACATCTTTTTCAATATTACGAGGTTTTGGATGAGGAAAACTCATGATCAACTTGAAAAATTCAGCGCATTCTGGTTTGCACTTACTCACTGTCAGAGGTCTAAATCCTTCCAAGTTACGGCGAATCCGGTTCTTTTCTTCTACTGTAAACTGAACACCAATTATTCCCTCCAAGAGATAAATACAATCGACAGAAGTAATAAAGTAATCATTCTTTTCTTGCCAGTGAATGCACGATACTACAAGTGAATTAGACTTCTTGAGTAGACTATGCTTTTGGTTTGACAGGTTCTCTCGGATACGTTGTTGCTGGTACGCTTCTTGAGATATAGGCTCAAACCCGCACTCGACTTCATTTTCTTCCTTTTTTCTTATGCTTTCCACATCCCCCTCTGGCATATCTCCATTTTGACGACGCCAGAATTGAACAAGGCGTCTACCATGCGCCCATTCATCTGGTGTCCAGTTCCAAGTCATTTCCATCAAATCACCCGTGATTTTTAAATTAGCTTTGCTGAGTACGCCTGCAAATGGACTTGATAAACTCAATATGTTATTAGGACCAACGCTTGAACCAGAAGCGCTTGAAGTTGGTACAGGTAGAACCATCTGTGGCTGTGAATTATATAATGGCTGTGTCTGCTGAGAGTAGCTTTGGTAGATTGGGCTACTACTTGTGTTCGGAACAGAAGTTCCTAAACCATAGCTGGATTGTTGAGAAGAAAAATCAGAGTGAGGATACGACATATTTGAACTCGTTCCATAAGAAGAATATTGTATCTGAGAAGCTGATGGTTCCATATGAACAGGTAATTGTGAGTGCATCTGTTGCTGCTGTTGTTGCGGTTGAGTACTATATCTGTTATATGGATGCGCTTGTTGTAAGAACGGGTTATTGTTTGATGAAGAATGATAAGACGATGGGGCTGACATTTGGTTAAAGAGAGAAGAAGACTGAGGTACTAATGAAGATGTATTATGACGCTTCTCGGGTACAGGCAATGTATGCTTTACTGGGGAGTCGTCAAAAGGTGCTAGTAATTGATTGAATAGCTGATCGTCTTCCAATGAAGGTCTTTTAGAGGGCAGCTCATTCATCAAAGCATCCGTAGAAGGTCGTTTCTTGCTCAACTCTAAAATATCTTATGGGTATGTTATGTAGACCAGAAGTTAACTTACCGTTTTCACCTGCATTCTTGTTGTAAGTAAACATGCCAATATTGTAGTGGTCAATAGCTGTATCTAAATTGCTACGATCATACACGCATATTGACACAGGAACTTGGTTTCCAGATACTACTTTAGTGTCTAAGAAGCTTGGTACGTGAGCTACAAGTGTAATCCACATCAACTGGCTATTCATTGTCGTGTTGGATGAGGCATTAGGTACTCTTTGATGTTGTTGATTTGTGTCTACCACTAACTGACCAAAGACAAGTCGCATTGGGTTAATTTCATTCATGGCATTAATTGAATCTGACACAGGTTGTTCTAATACAACTGTAATAGTAGACTGATCAGTACCCATATGAGGATCCCACTGTATTACGCGGGCTTTTTGATTGCTTTTAGGTTTTATATAGTCTTTAAATATAAAATGTCAAGCTCTATGTTTATCCGCCATGTTTCTTACCATTGTTTATTGTTGTGTCCAGCGATATGTTTGGATTATTGGAAGAGCTGGTTTCCATCATATGAATAATAAAAAAAGGAAAAGGAAAAAAAAGTGTCTATTACGGTTTGTAGTCTTGTTCTTATTTCTACGATATATCACTTATGTAGCAAACAATATTGCAATTGAATTAGGTCTGTTTAAATTAAATTTGATAACTTATTGTTTGGTTAACAATTGTAGTTTATTCCTTGCAGATCCTTTTATATAGAAAGAGAAACTTGCTAGTATTTTTTTTCTGGGTTTACATGAACCTTTGTCTATGATACAAAAATAATATCAATAAGATGCCTTGACTTGTTTGAAAAGTATCCATTAGAACAGAAAAAAAGAAGCTCGGAAGATAATAAGTGTTCTCGGGGCTATACATGGTCCTTGTCGATTTGTGGCCAATCTACCGCCACTTCATTTCTCCACATTTGAATACATAAAGTAACTCGCTTATTATTGAGGGTAAAAAAATTACTATTGTATTTTCAAAAAGAAGTACATAAAAATAGGCTTATAGTAAGGAATTAGGTGTATGCATACGAACTTATTAGAAGAAAAACATGGAGAATACATAATAAAATAAATAGCCCTATTCTGCTAATGAATGTCTTTTATCCATTGCTATATTTATATCAAAGCTTGTAGTTAGTTCATTGTTAGTCATGATTGAAGATGGCGTAGTTAATCCGCCGATTTGATCTGTATTGTGGTGAGGGAAAAAAGGCATCCATTTGTCCTCTAGGGGCATAGATGATGATAGCGGTTTATCTGAATATATAGGTTGAGAATCTAAAAGCTGCTGATTTCTTGTGGTTGAATGTTGCAATGTATGCTGCTGAGGAGCAAACTTTTCAGGATAATAGTGATTGGTACGAAGTTGTTGTTCATATTGAAAAACTGCATTTTCAAGACATTGGATTCTTGATTTTTGTATCTCAATCAAATTACTTGCCTTTTCGACCTGTCCTGTCAATGATTTGAACATAATTGAATACTTGTCTTTCCATTGAGCCAGTTTCTCTTGCAATATTTTCTCATCATACATCATCGTCTGCAAAGTAGTGTCGCGTCGACTTCTTTGGTCCTGTAATGCTCCATTTGTATCATAGCTCAGAAGAGCTGGAGGAGGAGGGGGAGGAAACGCATGTTGAGAAAAGTTCAAGGGCTGTTCATGGAAAGATTGATTGTCAAACGAATGTAAAGAAGAAGAGCGTTGCTGTGTATAGTGTTGCGTTTGATGATGATCGTCATACATATCGTGTAACTCCAAAATAGGGTTTAAATGGTCCGTCATGTTACTTGCAAAACTGTTGTTTCTCTGCTGCCAGGTAGTATAAGAGGAGGATGAAGAATCAGAGCGACGCATTTCGTTTGCACTCGCATGTTCATCGTATAAAAATTCATCCTCGTCTGATTCATTTGTTATGATGGTTTCAGTATCAGTAGGGTTTGCTTGAAGTTTCTTTCTGCGGGCGTAACGGGGAGCTCTTCTTCGAATTAAATGAAATAAATCTCGTCTGTTTGGACGAAAGTAAATATGATACCAGCGGCATGTCTTCTTATCCTTCACATCTTTTGATTTGCGAGCATCTGTGTCTCTTTGAAACCCGTAAATCTAAACGAAAATCAATATAGAAATATATGCAAAGGCATTGTTTACATTCAATTGTCTAACAAAAGAGGCAAACTTGCAATGTTTAAATAAGCGCGGTAACACTATTTCTGTGAATTCTATGCATAGAAATGAATGATATGCATAAAAAAGAAAGAAATGTATCTATACTTACTTGGTATACAATCGATAATAAACATATCCATACCATTGTGTTTGCACCAATAGGCATATTTTTGACCATCATCAGGCGCTTGTAGACATCTTTTGTGTTTTAATATACGGATAAGTATCAATAGTAATAGGGGAATAGAAAGGGGAAGGGCAAATCCACTTACTGATAGAGTTTAGAGATGAAACCGGCAACGCCTCTTTCAGGTAAGGCTGTAGGTCTCCAATGAGGTCTCGAATCATCTGGAGAAAGTAAGGGCCGTTCATCATAAGGTATTAGAGCACCATGATTATAGCTATTCATTATATGTAATTACAGTACAAAGAAAAATCAAGGAAAGCAAACAAGAAAGAAAAGAAAAAAAAAGGTAAAAGTAAGCTTCTTTTTAATTCATCTCGCATTCACTCCTCTTTTGCATCATGTACACAATGCGTTTTCTAAAGGTTATTTCGAACCCCTCCTTTATTTTTGTTTTCTCAACCCCTTTTTTCTTTATAAATATACAACTTTATTTCTAATTGCGTTGAATACCCATTTCATCCATGACTCTTTGATAGATCTTGTCTGATTTAGTTTCCACTGCTCTATAGCCAGACTTTGATAATCGAGCCTTGGATTCAATTAGAGTGAGCAAATCAGAAAATTGACTAAAAAGATATTTTTCGCACAATAAGCTCACACTCAAGTTCAGACCACTCAAGATCAAGATAAACCATCTAAAAGATATGGGCAGAATTTCGAGTTCCATCATGTCCAAAACAAAGGTGGGAGGTGCTAAAACAAACCAGGAAGTAAGAGCAACAAGAACAGCAAGAGTTAGCACTAAACGGCCATTTGTCCAAATTGGCCTTCGGAAGGGCGGACCGACGCTAAATACGACTGCAACAAGCATGTATTGGTAGCTAGAAACAAGGAATAGCACGGTATTCTCTAAGCACACAATATTGTCCCCATCTGGATCAAATACAGGCGGTTTATACCTAATCAAATCGTTAGACATATGCATCGCCTATTAATAAACTGCTTACCATGATTGTTGCTCTACAGCCCAGTAAGCAATCACTTGAAAGCTAGAGTTAATGACTATTTGTCCTATTAACGAAGTCAACACTTTTTTCGAGACCAGGCTAGCCGTGGGACGTTTTTTATGGAGTGTTGGCCATGCAGCAGTGTAACCCACTAAGCAAATTAATTAAGACAATAAGCTCCATGTAATATATGGTACTTACTGTAAACAGCGATGGGTAAGATAAGAAACAGATCGATGTACAAGAATTGGAAGTCTCCTAAGTTACTACCAAATGCATAGAGCAAAGTGACCGAAGTAAACTGAATCAAACTATATAAAGCCATGTACTTGAAACAACTAAAACTTGTCACTAGAGCAGCTCTTCCTTCCCTACAAGAAAATGAGTTATTTTGATTCTTTACAATAAAGAAAAACTTACTTTATCACATCAATCACACATTCAATATCCATTGTATTACTTGTAAATGGAGCGGCAACGGATGCCTCTGCTTCAGACAATGAAATACCAATATCTCCTGCTTTCAAAGCTCCACAATCATTGGCGCCATCACCACAAAAGCCGACACAGTACCCAATATTCTGAAGCTGAACAACAAGCTCTTGTTTTTCATCAGGCGACATACGAGCATAAATGGCTCCTTTGACAAGCATGCGATGAAGTGACTCAATTTCTGCATGGTCGACCATCCAACGAAAAGCTTCTCCTGTAATGGCCAGATAATAATCTTGAAATTGTACATAAGGGTTGTCATTTGAGAACATGCGAGAACGAGGCTAGTTTATTGGTTAGGGGTACATATACCTTTTTTGGTTTGACAGTTACCTGCAATGTTGATGTAGATAATTCATTGCCCTCTTGTAACACACTCTCCCAATATATTTCTGAATCTGCCTCAGTTGAGGAACCCTTAAGGAATCGAGGAATATAAATCTCGGCCGATTGATCAATAAGACCGCATTCTCTTGCCACACTCACTGCTGTAAGTACATTATCACCTAAAGAAGCAGTATAAGAAAAACAAAAAATAAATAAATAAATAAATAAACTACTTACCAGTACACATGATTTGGCGAATATTGGCGTTGCGTAAAGTAGTAATGGCCGGAATCGTTCGAGGTTTAAGCTTATTTTCAAAGACAATAAAACCTAAAAATGTCAAACCAGTTTCTACCTCGTTTCTGCACAAAAAAAAAAAAGATAGTTAGCATTCTAATTGATGCACCTTTATGTCATACCTTTTAAGTTTATGGAGTTTGTGCCATTTAACACCAACCAATTGCCGAGAAGCACAAGCAATGACGCGATAACCATTGTGCGTATATTTGTACAATCTTTCTTGGTAATCTTCAGGCACTAGAGAGAAAGAGAACAATAAATACTTCTAAATAACCAAACAAAAAGGAGAGTGACACTTACTTGATTCAGGAGTACAGATATCTTTCATAACCTCTGGTGCACCTTTTACAAAAATTTCCATGCTTGGACTAGCTAACTTTCGAACAATCACGCTCATTCTTCTAAGGCCAGATACGAATTCAAATGTGTGAATAATCCCGAATTCAATAGGTGGTGTAGGCGTTTGCAAATCAATATCTTGCCTTCCGCCAGGCGGACGGACAACAGTAGGCATAATGCCCACTTTGGCGCTCTTTTTAGCTTGCAATGCAGCCAATTCACTCCTAGGTTTGAGTCCCATGGAAGTGGCTCCTCCACTCTCTTCCAGTTCCCATTGTGTGAATTCAAACATTTTGAGATCAAGAGGGTCACCCAAGAGTTCACCATTGACAATTTTTAAAGAATGGCATGTAGTCATGGTACGCATAATCTTTGTCTGAGTTGTATGGTTATCATGATCGTTATCAACGTCTAAATGTCCAACAGAATTGCTTTCTTTGTCAAAGAACTTTCGGCCGTCTTCTGTGGTGATAACAGCTCTAATACCGTGTATATCCAATCCATCTTCAGTCAAAGTACCTGTCTTGTCAAAGCACATACAGTCAATTTTACCTCCAATATTAACTCGTGGTGGAGAAATACAAAAGATGCCTAGTTTCTTCAGTCTTCCAATAGCAAAACTTGTACCAATAGAAAGAGTGGCAGGAAGTGCAGGAGGGACAACAATGGTAATCAAATCAAGAGCACGCAAAATCATGGTTGTTGTATCGATACCTAGACGAATGAAATTGACAGAAGAGATAAGGAAGCCAACCAATGCAATAATAGACAAGACACCAATAAATCTAAATGAATCTCTATAAAACTTGAAGCTATTGGGCTTAGGAAACAACATGGATCTCACAAGAGCACCTTTAGCTGTATTGAATCCAGTTCGAACAACAATGGCAGTGGCTAGCGACACATTATCACCTCCTCGAACACGGACCATTTTAGTGCCCATAAACAAGAAATGCTTTGAAATCTCTGCTGGTATGCCTGAGCAAGACAAGTTCATCTTACGAAGTGTAACATCAGTAATGGGGGCCTTGGACACAGGTACTGATTCTCCTGTAAGCATAGATTCATTCAGGATACAATCTCCTGACACAAGCATAGCATCACATGGAACAGTGTGTACATTAGCAATATCGACAAGGTCCCCAGGAACCAGTTCCACTGAACTTACATTTTGCCCTATAAAAAGAAAAGGTCATTCACTTGCTTATCAGTGTCACTTGTTCACCTACATGAACCATCTCGGAATACTCGGACAGAGCATTCGAAAAAGGACATGTCTTTCATTCTTTTCATTGTCTGCGACACATATGTAAGCGTATATGAATTTCTTAGAAAATACTTACCTGCTTTGTTTCTAGTAAAGTAGAGATAATACTGAAAGCGCTGATAATAAAAATGCAGAATGCATAGTAATAGTAGTCGTCCATACACCAAAGAAGAATACTGCCAATCTGGAACACATAGAATGGATTTAGAACTTCATCAGTAAGTAGCTTAGTAGTAGGTTTTTCGCGAATATTGATCAAATTAGGGCCAAATACTCTTGTTCTAGCATGGTACTTTTCAGAAGATAACCCTGATTTGAAATTTTTCGAATTACTCCACGACTGGTCTTTCCAAAAACTGCAAATCTTGTTAGCATATCTATTTTATGTGCGCAAATAATTTACCCGATCATTAGGAATTTGTGTAATACAGGATGATAAGCTAATCGGATATAACGATATTCAACCAACATTAATTGAGGTACTTGTTTGTCCATGTCCAACATGTCTCGCATTTGCTCATTGTTAAGAGAGAATCGAGTGAGTTCAGTCTTTATCTGATCTAATGAAAAAATAGATCCAATGGTGCCATTATACCATTCGCGTGTTGGCCTGATAATTTCAATTTCGTTGTATTGACTCTACAGGGGAAGGTTGGAAAACATATAGCTATATCAAAAAAGAAACTCACCTTGAACACAAGCCATTCTGCGTTTTTTAACGGGACTTTAACACCAACCCAAGCAAGATACCATGTAGGAATCCATCGACAAATCAGCCAAACAATCCCCAGCGATAGTATGCAACATATGCGATATAAAAACAAATTAAACAAATTGCGCTTATAGCCCATTATGTTGATCAACACATCCTCTTCCTCTAACAAGAGCACTTGTTCATCTCGGGTATCTGTGGGGACATCATTCACGCTGATTCTGATTTCATTGGCTCTATTTTGTATCAAATCATCACTTTGACTTTGCTCGCTATCGCTTTCGCTTTGTTCTTCGTCGCTTGTATTTAATTCTGTTAGCTCTTCTTCACTACTACTACTGCCGCTGCTGCTTTCGCTGTTCCTTCTACGTCTAATAAGTCCCACACGGTGTCGTGGATAGAAATCTATACTTCCAGCCTCTAGTGGGTCTTCTCCTGCACCTACTTGAACAGGAGGTGTATGTATTAGAGGCGCAGCGGAACCCCGTCTTGTGCTTTTGATTTTTGAATATTCGGTAGCTTCCGGGTCAACAATAGAAGCGCCATATTCTACGCGTGTTGCAGTCGAGGGATTTGCCGACATTCCTTTGATTTATGTTTAATTGTGTCAACAATATAACATACACAACAAGTCAAAGAGAAAAGAAAGAGAAAAGAAAGAGAAAAGAAAATTAACTTGTTGAAAAAAAAAAAGAAAAAAAAGCGGACATTTAATGCCTTTTTATTTAGGAATACCAATCAAGAAACAAAAGTACAAAACTAGCCCCAATTAAGAACGCTAGCATGAATTTACGACTGCTCTTGTTTCTTTCTCTTGCTGTAATCAACTGCAAATTACCCTGTTCAACTCGATCTGTAGTTGCAACAGCATCTGCATATAATCTATCTGTCTGTATCGTTTGGGCAGCCAAGTGATTAGCTAATTGTGTTTGAAGTGTAGAGATTTCTAATAATGCTTTTTCTGCGCTCTTGACTTGATTCAATGTGTTGTTTAGATCCTCTAGCATGACCGAGTTTTCTTTTTCAAGCATTTGAACCTGTTCATTTGTTAATTCTTGCTCGAATGGATCATCATCTTTAAATTCAAGTATTTCTTGGTTTACTACAGGTGGTGGTATTTCAGCAAAAGTTGATTTTGAGAGTTGATTTTCACTTTTTTCTATTTCGCGCATAAGTCGAATCTCTTGTTGATCTTTTTGAATTTGTGACACTTGCATCAATTGTTGATTTAAAAGCCAAGTGATGCTGCTGCGATGGACAAACAATACGTCTTCTGTTGCAGACGGTAATAAAGCAAAACCAAGCAATTGAGTGAAGCGATTTGTAGGTTTGGATGCCTCATTTGCCTTTCGTATCTTTTCTGACTCTTCTAGTTCTTTGATTCGATCAATGCATCGACGAATAATAAGTTTAGCTTGAAAATCGATTTCATCTCTTTCTCTGTCTGTTAGGTTATGAATATTGTTTGAAAATAGACTAAAAAGCGAGTCTCCACTTAGGTTGGACGTGTCTAAACTTGAACGCGTACGTACTCCTCTGTTTTTAGTGCTCAAGTAAGCAGGTCGAATAGTTATTAAAAAGCGTCGAAGACTATCAATATGTTGGTATATGCGGTAAGCTTCCTTTGTAAAAAGGTCATAAGACGCTTCGTCGTGTTTTTCTCGACGCTTCGGGTTAGGTTTTTGAGGAACCAGTGCTGCTCTTTCTTTGACAATAGTTTGGAAGTCAAGTGTTCTGCTAGTCATAAAGATAAAAAAACTGGTTAATAAAAGACATGCTCAACATATAATAGATGACGCATATTTTTATTAGCCAATCAAAAAATACAAACATATTCTATACTTGTGGTTAAGACGAGTTGCATAACACAGCTTAAAAATAACCACCCAAGACTTATCGTGCATCATTAAATACCATTTTCAAATTATTTTCTTCAATAAACACAGTGCAATAGACACTGGAAATAACTGACACGTATTATAGTTCATGGCAGTATAAGAGATGGTCTAAAATCAGATCCAATTGACTGTAAATGAACTTATTTAGAGTTAAAAGGCTACAATGACAAGTTCTGAATAAACACCATCAGATAAATCCATAAGAGAGGACTCAAAAAGCAAAAATGACTTGATTCTACCAATAGAAATGGATACACTTTGTCTACTTCAAAAAATGGTATAGGCGAATTAGCAGGCTTGGAAGGATCTTTATTCTTTCCATTTCGTTTTACAATATTCTTTTTTGATACGAATAATTATTTGCCATGCATTTTATAACGAAATATGTTCAATTGATAAAATAATTTTGACATCTTTTTTCTCTTTTACAAAATGCTTTCTTCTACTACTGCTCTTTTAAAATCGATACATTTACGCAAACATAATCACTTTTTGAAGTAAGCATCAAAGTAGACGATAAACTCTTTATATAAATAGTCTTTCACGTTCATTGTTGAAAAAATCAGGAATTTTCTTTAAATACTCTTTTTCTTTCCGCAACTTTTACTGTTTGTGTCTCAGAAATCGAGTTTTTTATTGCTAGTATTTGATATGGTCGATGATTCTCTTTCTTCATCTAAAAAACTGGTGTTCATCGACTTTCCAAACATATCCCCATGCCTAGCATAAACACAGAACTAGATAGGGCAACGTGCTTTTCATTCCAAATATCGGATATTGTATTCTGTATGTGTACCACAACAAACTATATTTTGCCATAATATATGACCGGAGAGATTTTTTCATCATAAAAATTAAGTCTTGAAGGCTATTTCTACGTGCTTAGAGCACAAATAAAACCTTCTAAATTACTTTACAGAAAAAGCGCTCTTTCAAGTTGATTACTAGTATGAAAAGGTCTCTTTTGACGTTTAGCAACAGACAGTAGCCGCTCGTAGCTTTCTGGAACTCTTAAAGCAATCAAGGATAGCCTTTGTTTATTAAGTGCAAAGCCAGCCATAAGTTCTGATGCCACTAAGAGGAATATTCGTAAAAAATAGTTTAATGAGAATTTAATATATTCGCTAATGATTAACAAGTAAAGGATATGGGCTGATTAAAACTGCAAAAATAATACAAAAAATGTATGTTTTGGATTTTCGCTCCTAACATAATGGACTTTAGTTTTTCGACCCTTTTTTTTCAATTTTTTTGACAACATTTTTCATCAAAAGTTGAAGAATTCTTCACTCATTGAAGGAGAATCTTGGCCAAATCTTTACTCAAGTATGGAAGATTTTCTCCGTCGATGGAAGAAAAATACAATCAATCACACTGCCTAAAAATAATTGTTCTCCAGAAATGTTTTTCTGTTGATACAAGTAGTATACTTACGCATTGGTATTGATTTTGTCAAATCGATACTCAAAGTTCATTAATTTATTAATTTATTAATTCTATAGAAAAAACCCTTTTAAACACATGGCCCAATGTGGTCCTTGGTTGCTCGGACTTGATCGATTCATAAGAATGATTATACTAAGCCAAAGTTGCTTTAAGAAAACAAGAGAAAAAGAGGAATAGAAAGGAGAGTGTTGATCTAATGTTGCGTCTGGGCGTGGTTTTGTAGCCAGAGAATAAATAGAAAGATTTAGTTGGACGTTGAAAGGAGTAGATTGTTTGTGATAGCACATTACATAAAGGTGATTTGGGATAAAAGAAAATCTATAGAGGCCCATTTGGTACTCCAATAAAGTACAGAGCGGACATTCTTGAGCGTTTTTATGAGCTTGGTCAAGAACACTTTTGCATTCTCTAAAGCTACCTTGAGCAGTGTCTAAGGACGATGTTTGGCCTTGTAGAAGTCCCTTGATGCATGTTTGACGGTTTTTCTGAGAGAATTAGCCAAACTAATTAGGCAGTAGTTGACTAGATCAGTCGGGCTGCCCTTCTCATGAATTGGGACTACTTGTGTGACTCATCAACAATGAGGCGTGTATGGCCAACGCCAACATAGATCAAAGATATGGAAAGTCAGGAAGCCACTAAAATTTGTGATGTATATACAGAAAATAAAGCTAGAGCCATGAATAATTACGTTAATAGCCGTAGATGTTAAAAACCTCTCGTGAATGTAATGGATTTACAAAAAAAAATAGATATATATGTTCAAACTCCATTAACATTTATGCCGACTTACAAGTATGCCATTTGTGTGCATAGAAAAATATTTCTCAGAAAAAAAAATAAAAACCACTGCTTTAAGATAAATCAAGAATATTTTTTGTGAAAAAAAAAAAAAAATTTCTAATTTTCTGCTTGAAATCTAAAAAAAAAAGCTTGTTTTTCAATTTTTCAGTTTTAAATAAATAAACGAGTCTACCAGATAATGATCTTACTGCTTTATTCTAGAAGATAGATTACTGGCTGGTAGACTCGTTTTTTATTTTTAAACAGAAAAATTAAAAAACAAGCTTTTTTCTAAAAAACTTTAAGCAGAGAAATAAGAAATTCCTTTCTTTTTTATTTTTCGTCATTGCAGAAAATATTCTTGATTTATTTTAAAGTAGTGGTTTTTATTATTTTTCAAAAAATATTTTTTTGAGTACGAAAATGGCATACTTGTAATTTCGGCATACCTGTTGGTATTTCTGTTATTTTTGAAATGCTTTTTTTTTGTAAGTCTATCATAATGATCATAAAGGCCTGAGGCACACAATTCTTCCCATAGTTTTTTTCATTGCTCTAGCTACTTTTTTTAGAGATATAAGTGCCTACATTGTGGTGTATGGTTGCAATGGTTGCTATGATGCTATGATTGCTATACTCTATTTGGCTTCGGGCTCACAAGTCAACTACACCCTTTTCTTGGACATATTTTAGCAGACTCTAATCAAGCAAGCGTCAGATGAAAATTTAATTTATAAAGCAACTGTCAGCCGTCGACGACGTCTTCACTTCCCAAATGACAACTTCAGTAATTTGAACTCGTTCTTAAATCCTTTTAATTATCAATTTTTTTACCAGATTTAACCTTACAGAATAAACACAATAGCCATAGACGCCATAACAACCGCCATAACAACCACCATAGGGATCATAGTAGCCATACACAACAGTATAAGCGATTGCATTTTTCCATTAGTGAAATAAACCTTCCGTATTTGAATAAAGATTTGGTCAAGATTTTCCATCTCCAAATGCATAATTCTTCCACTTTTGATGAAAAACTTTTTCTATCGCTTACGCTGTAGTAATATCTCTACAAAAAAAGTAGCTAGTGTGATAAACACTACAATTAAAAAGACAAAATAAAGTCAATCAGAACCGAAAACGGCCAAAAGAAAGTTGTTCTTTATTACACTCTGTTATTTCTCTCCATCTATATAAAATATAGCATCCCTTGAAGGAAATTAATATCTTTTCATGAATTCCATTGAATGCAATCGTTGGTGTCTTTACGGATGAGGGGCGCATAGATCCCCTACTGTTTAGTTTGTAGTAATAATCAATCTGACGGTAAATAAAGAGACTGCATAATTTAAAGTACAGATTCATGGTTCAGTGTCAACTTCACTCCTGAATACTCCTGCAGCCCATTACGGTGCAAAGTCACTCTAAATCATAGTCATGTAGATAGCCGTGTATACAACAGCTAGAGCAATGAAAAAAACTATGGGAAGAATTGTGTGCCTCAGGCCTTTATGATCATTATGATAGACTTACAAAAAAAAAGCATTTCAAAAATAACAGAAATACCAACAGGTATGCCGAAATTACAAGTATGCCATTTTCGTACTCAAAAAAATATTTTTTGAAAAATAATAAAAACCACTACTTTAAAATAAATCAAGAATATTTTCTGCAATGACGAAAAATAAAAAAGAAAGGAATTTCTTATTTCTCTGCTTAAAGTTTTTTAGAAAAAAGCTTGTTTTTTAATTTTTCTGTTTAAAAATAAAAAACGAGTCTACCAGCCAGTAATCTATCTTCTAGAATAAAGCAGTAAGATCATTATCTGGTAGACTCGTTTATTTATTTAAAACTGAAAAATTGAAAAACAAGCTTTTTTTTTTTAGATTTCAAGCAGAAAATTAGAAATTTTTTTTTTTTTTCACAAAAAATATTCTTGATTTATCTTAAAGCAGTGGTTTTTATTTTTTTTTCTGAGAAATATTTTTCTATGCACACAAATGGCATACTTGTAAGTCGGCATAAATGTTAATGGAGTTTGAACATATATATCTATTTTTTTTTGTAAATCCATTACATTCACGAGAGGTTTTTAACATCTACGGCTATTAACGTAATTATTCATGGCTCTAGCTTTATTTTCTGTATATACATCACAAATTTTAGTGGCTTCCTGACTTTCCATATCTTTGATCTATGTTGGCGTTGGCCATACACGCCTCATTGTTGATGAGTCACACAAGTAGTCCCAATTCATGAGAAGGGCAGCCCGACTGATCTAGTCAACTACTGCCTAATTAGTTTGGCTAATTCTCTCAGAAAAACCGTCAAACATGCATCAAGGGACTTCTACAAGGCCAAACATCGTCCTTAGACACTGCTCAAGGTAGCTTTAGAGAATGCAAAAGTGTTCTTGACCAAGCTCATAAAAACGCTCAAGAATGTCCGCTCTGTACTTTATTGGAGTACCAAATGGGCCTCTATAGATTTTCTTTTATCCCAAATCACCTTTATGTAATGTGCTATCACAAACAATCTACTCCTTTCAACGTCCAACTAAATCTTTCTATTTATTCTCTGGCTACAAAACCACGCCCAGACGCAACATTAGATCA